TCTATTCCATGTCTATCACAAAATAGTTAAAAGTCAATATAATGCACAAATTAAAGTCTTGCGATCTAACAATGGCAACGAGTATGTGTCAAACAAACTCACAGATTATCTTCTTGATCTAGAAATTGAGTTCCAAACAAAGTGTCCATACACACCTCAGCAAAATGGTATAGTTAATGGAAAAAACCAGACAATTGTTGGAAGTCACCTGAGCCCGTCTACTTGGAATGGAAGTTCCAAAAAATTTATGTTCTAAAGCAGTTCTCACTGCTGCCTTTTTAATAAACTGCATGCCCTCTCATGTTCTTGAGGGAGAATCACCAGCTGAAATTGTTCATTCTAACTCACCCATGTTCCCTATACCTCCCAAGGTGTTTGGTTGTGTATGTTTTGTCCACATCCTTGGTCCAAAGAGGGACAAGCTTGATGCTAAAGCTGAAAAATGTATTCTTTGGGTATTCTTCTCATCAAAAGGGATACAAATGTTATGATCCTGTTACGAAGGTCCGCTACGCCTCCATGGATGTCACCTTCTTTGAATTTGTTCCATACTTCTCCTATATAGGTCCTAAGTGCTCTCTTAAGGGGGAGAATACGATACAGCTTCGTAAAGAGAGCACATTAGTTGTTCCCCTTCCTATTCCCACACCACTTTTATTTGAAGAGTGGTTTATCTCAAAGGAATGATGCACATTCAAAGAAGAAGATGTATACCACAAAGAAGAAAATGGTGCAACCCGCAGCTAAGCGACCATACCGCGAATGCTAACCCGGAAACAGAAACTGACCCTAACCCAGGTCACTCTTTCAGCCTCTCAGAGAATCCTAATTTAGACTTACCTATTGCTATTCCCAAGGGTTCACGTTCCTGCACTCAACACCAGTAGGAAACTTCATATCCTACAATCTTGTGCCTCCCTCTCATCATGCCTTCCTCTCATCATGCCTTCATATCTGCTCTATCTTCTATTAGAATACCTTCCAGTGTTGCAGAAGCACTTTCACAATCACAATAGAAAGCTGCCAGGGGTGACGAGATGCAAGCACTTGAGCGGAATAATACATGAGAAATCACTAAACTTCCTAAAGGGAAGAAGGTTGTAGGATGTCGATAGGTATTCACCGTAAAATACAAAGATGATGGTACCATTGAAAGATACAAAAAAAGCAAGATTGGGTGTAACAGGTTTAACCCAGACTCCTGGTATAGCCTACAAAAATACTTTCATGCCTGTGGTCAAATCGAACACTGCAAGGATCATTGTTTCACTAGTTGCAAATAAATCGTGGGCACTCCATCACCTAGAGGTTAAGAATGCATTCTTACATGGAAACATCCAAGGACTAAACTATATGGAATGCCTCCTAGTTTTCAGATTAAGGGTAGATATGAAAGGTTTGCAAGTTAAAGAAGGCACTATATGGACTTAAAAAGTCTCCAAGAGCGTGGTTCAAAAAATTCAGTGAGGCACTGCTGAAATTTGGGTTCAAAAGGAGTCAAGTTGATCATACACTCCTTGTGAAGAAGGATATTGTTGGAATTATTGCCCTTATTGTGTACTTTGATGATATTGTTGTGATAGGGGATATTGTGAAGGGCATTGAGGATCTTAAATCTTATTTAAGGAAGGTGTTTCATATTAAAGATTTAGGACCCCTTAAGTATTTTTTGGGAATTGAAGTGGCAAGATCAAAGAAAGGGATAGTCACCTCCTAAATAAAATGTGTTGGACTTGTTACAATAAACGGGGATATTGGAATCTAGACCAATAGATACTCCTATAGAAGTCAATCATGAACTTCATGGAGAAAGGGGAGAGCACCTTATAGATCCTAATCGATATCAACGAATAGTGGGCAAGCTTATATATCTCACAATCACTTGACTAGACATTTCTAATGTAGTTAGAGTGGTCAACCAATTTATGCATACACCACGTAAACCCTACCTTGATGCTATGTACAAAATATTAAGATATCTTAAGTCTAAACCAGGGAAAGGGATATCTTTCTCAAATCAAGGACATTTCGATGTTTCAATTTACAGAGGTGCTAATTGGGTTGGGTTTCAAACTGATTGGAAGATTCACAACTGGCTATTGTACCTTCATTTTGGGTAACCTAGTTACTTGGAAAAGCATGAGGCAAAATGTGGTGGCAAGATCAAGTGTTGAAGCAGGATACAGAGCAATGGCTCATGGTACATGCAAAATAATGTGGATCAATAAGTGTGCTTTTTTATTTGGGTGTTAGAGTTAAGATTCCCAGGACTCTATATTGTGACAATGAAGCAGCCATTCATATCGCAGAAAATCTTGTTTTCCATGAAAGGACAAAATACATTGAAGTAGATTGTAACTTTATCAAAGAGAAGGCTGCTGCAAAGATCATTCACACTTCTCATATGAAATCGAAAGATCAACTTGCAGATATCTTCACCAGGGCTGTTGGACGGAACTGATTACATGATATTACAAGCAAGCTTGGTATGATCGATATCTATGCACCAGCTTGAGGGCAAGTACTCACCCAAAAAAAAAAAAAGCTTGAGGGCAAGTGTTGTAAATAAAAGGAATAAGCTTTATTGTATTTGATAGACAGAACTGTCATTTTTTTTTGTTTTAGTCCTTATTTTTCTTATGTCTCTAAATAAGGGAAGTATTGTCCATCAGTTGTAATTAGGGTTAATACTTAATGTTATAAGAGGGGTAGAGGTCACAAGTGACCTCAATGACACTCTCCTTCCCTCTCTATCTCTCTATCTCTCACACCTCTCCCTCCATCATCTTTATTTTCTTTCCTCTCTCTCTCTCTCTCTCTCTCTCTCTCTCTCTCTCTCTAGATCATACCAAACTGTTTTAGTCTCCACTTTAATTTCAACTTAAAACAGACCTACGATGAAGAGACCAGGAGTAAAATGCAAACATATCACCTCACATGGTTCAGGCACTAGTGTAGTTAATGTGCATGAATTTTGTAAAACCACTAGCGTTCCGTAGATACGAAGGGTATCCAGGGTATTCACTATCCTTTCTTCACCATGCACCATGGTGGACCACTGAGTTCCTTGGACAACAGGCCAGGTGTAATGAGGATAGAAGCTGTCTCCAACAGGTATCTGATGTTGGCCATAGTAGATCCTCAACTGTCAACATATCCTACCCAACTTGCAGCACAGTGAAACTTCAATGGAAAAGACGAAATAAAATGGCAGGAGACGGCATCTATGAAATATTCTCAAGCAGCAATAGCAAGTACTGTAGAGGGATGCTGTATAAAGTGAAAGACTAAGGGGAAACATAAGCAGCATTCAATCACACACCAATCAATATAGGTCAATATGATTGTGAGATAGGACTTCACGCAAGTTCCAATATGAAGCAAGTGCCTCCATAATTTGGCCATTTAGTCTCACAATTACTCACCTAACTAAAGTTCATGTAGTGCATGTGAGTCAATTAGCAGATAAGTCGAGTAAACCTTATCGTACATATGTTTGTCATTGTGTCTGATATTATCTAGGCCACTTACAATGCAAGAATTTTTCTTCCCAATATGTCTGCAAGGGATCCTTGTGCATCTGGGGCTGCAAATTAAGTTGCCAAATAATAGCCATTATAAGATTCCGAATAATCCTGAGAGATCCAAGGGTTTCATGAAAGACTCTAATGCAGTCCTAACCAGGCCATTTATCTGTTAATAATCATATTTGAGCTTCAAACTTTGCTACATAATCTATCCATACACTCACGATGACAGCCCTCTTTTATAACAATAAGAGAACCGTTGAGATACATTATATGTAAGTTCTTCTTAAACTTATTCCAGAGAGATTGTCACATTAACGCCAAGCACCTGTAACAGTAACTCATATCCTTATCTCACAGTTAACTGTGGACTGCAGACTTCTGGACAAAGTCATGGACCATTTCACATGCACAATATTACATAAGAAACTCAATAATTGACAAAATCCACTTCATCATGAGAGGGAACCTGACTGATTTATGAGTATTGCACATCATAGCATGTGCTATCTATCAATATATACACATACACACAACACAAGCATTCACACATGCACATGAACACATGCGCAAACATATATCTTCAATCTCGCATTGAATAATTCATCTAGGCTTAGAACACTGTGACTCTATAAATTTCGCCTGATAGATTAGCTAAAATTGTCAATACCCACTTTTCCTTCATTTTAGGGAATTGTTCAGCTAACATGATTCTGAGCCCAAAGTACAACTGCACTACAGACTGGAATGGAAGAAGGACAAGCAGTTAGCCATCTTTTATTCCTTATGTTTAGTCAGAATGGAAATATGTTGCCAAAATTTGATAAATCTTGAGGGGCCAGGTTGGATGATGCATGTAAGTCACCACATCAATCTGCCTTATTTGCAATAGGGGAAAAGCATAATAGGTATTTAAACTTTAAACCCCGTCTCCAATAAGTCCTGTTTTAAGAACAAGAGGGGTTGGTTCCCTATAGAAATTGGCACAGCACAGAACAATAAGGAGAAGCGCCAGTGCATATTAAACACACTATCCACGAATTATATGTAATCCAAACAGGCTCTAGATACATGAGTTCCAAAAGATGGAGCATACAACAATGGCCTCCAGATCTGTTAAGAAATGCATTAAACAGAAGAGTAAAACCATGTCACAAGCAGCATATTCAAGTTAGTCACTGAACATAGTAAAAGTACAACTGTGAGATAAAACTGGAATGTTCATCATAACCAGAAACAAGAGTCATAATCTTGTCTCCTCACTATCTAATGTATCAAAAAAGCTAAAGTACTACGAAATGCACAAATATATACTTGCCTAATGTATACTGAGAAACAAACAAGAGATACAGAAGTAGCCAATAAAAGTAACAGGATTAAGGTCTAAAATTCAACATTAAGCCACCAAAAATAGAAAGAGAGAAGTAAAGAAAGTGAACCATAAGAGGTAGAACAGGATGAGTTCCGACCCACCTTCACATTAAGGTAATCACATATGGCGTCCAGAATGAACTGTATCTCATCTTCATGAGGCTCTGGAAGCATTGTTATCGTTGTACTAGAATCTGTAGTTCCTGCAATGGTTTTTCCCAACCATGGCAGCATGAAAGCAATACGGCCATCCTTAGTTTTTGGAACAATTAAGCCCATTCCTTCTGGAGAATAATAATCAGGAAGGATTATGTGTACACCACTACTAGGACAAATCATAAGTGGAGCATCTTTGTCTGCCAATTTCCTCACAGAATCACAAAAGGGTCCCGCCGCATTGACAATAACTTTAGCATAAGTATCGAATTCTTTTCCTGCATCACATTCAGACATAATAGGTGTAAGACTCACAGGAAAAATTATAGCACGTCCAGCATCATTTCACTGAGCTACTTTTTGGACACCAGATATCAAAACAAACCTCACAAGAATTACTAAGCTAACTTAGTGATTATAATAACTTCAAGCCTTTTTTTTTTTCTACCTTTTTTTCTTTTGCAATCTTGAGCATATTAACGAGGTAATTGTGTCATGTGATGTACATATAGACCATTATCAAGAAAAGATTCATGCTTACAACTTCAGATGCATTCTATGTCAGATCCCAAGATTATACTCTTAGCGTCATTCCAGTTCCATTTAGTTTTCTTCATGATACTATTGTTTCCATTATTTTCCAATTTATTAGAATTTCTTTCAGTTTTTAATTTTTCAACTTAACTAAATTTTTTATATTTTATAAAAAATAAAGGAAACAAAACAAGAACCTGCACAACACATTATGTTGACATGTTAACGTCTGGAGACAGCGATGCAGCATGTCCAAACCCTTAATGAAACATGATCAGAAGTAGCCAGGCTCCAATAGCACAGCATATTGCATTCGAAAGTTGCATTTGGACATTTAGCTCAATAACACACGAGAATTCTAATTAAAAACTCAACAAATAATGCATCATAGTCATTTTACAAATGCATGCATGGTTGACAACATGGTAATGCTTTAAGAAAGCAATGAGTGTTGGAAGGAAGGCCATTTACCAACTTTTGTATCTCACATTTTCAACACCGTGCATGCAAATAGTTTTGTTGACTCAAATTCCTCCATAAAGAGGAAACTTTAAGTATGTCAAACGCAGATGGAAAATGGAAGAATGAGACAGGGCTAGTAAGGTTGTATTTCCATATCAGTGAGTGAATCTTGGGTAGCCCCAAGATTTGATTGTACCGAAGCAAAAGGGTAAGGAAAAAGGGCTAAAGAAGAACAACTACTAAAGATGCCCCAGATGGCCATGTCTTATGGCACAGAAAGAGCTTGAAGGAAGGAGAGAGCCTGTAAAGAAAGAAAGGAATCCCAGAGAAGAAGAGTACTCTTAGCTGACTACATAGTTTCAAAACGCGCTAGGCAGGTCTTGGGGTGCCTAGGGGGTCCAGGTCGTCCAGCGCCTAGGCGGGCGCCCAGGCGGGTGCCCAGAACCTGGGCAGCCAGTTGAATCCAAATAAGGATTATGGCATTCTGCAGTTATGTCAGTATCAGTTATATGTATTGCATATGGGTTATAGCCATATTTCCAACTGGGATCACCACTTCTATTAGATGCCGAAGAAGACATATAAAAAATAATGCAAATTACTAAAGCAATAAAAAAATCACTTACTTTGAGTTTGATTGCTCAATCTTCAAACTTCCACCTCAAAGATGCTTCTAAATACTCAAAATCTTCTAAAAAGCCTCCTAATAACTTTTCAAAACATCAAAAAGTAAATATAATACCAATGGGTGATGTTTTGATCAATTTTTGTTAACTTTGAGTAACTCTTCGTTCTTAAAAAAGTCACCACAATCTAGTTTTTTGGGGGTTCTCTCTCTAAATTTGGCTCCAACAAGTTTTAGGTTTCAAATGAACCAAAAACCTTAATTTTTGGCCCTTAAAAACAAAAAAAAAGAGAAAAAATGCCCTCGTCGAATGGTTTTTCCACCCCGGGGCGGGGCACAGGCCCTGGGCAACCGCCCAAGGATCGACCGCCCAGATTGGCCGCCTAGGCCTAAGCGATCCGCCCAGAGGTCCGCTTTTTTAATCACTGGCTGACTGCTTAACCTGTACTCAGAGGCAGGTAGCTCTCTTTACACTCCTAATGCAGAAGGACAGCAAGAAATTAAATTCACCTTCTTTTCGATCAAAACAACCATGAAGTAGCAAGCAACCAAGGAGGAAGAAAAGGAACTCGAACAAGTGTCAATGGAGAAGAAAAGTTTCTTTTTTTTCTATGAAAGAAACTATGGTCAACAAAAGCGTCTTTTCAATGGGGCGCTCAGATCTTTTAATACAAGAAATCCAAAAAAGAAAAAAAAATTGAAAAGATATCTCCATCTCTTTTCTAATTCACACAAGCAACTAAGGAGGAAGAAAAGGCACTTGAACATGCGTCAATGAAGAAGAAAAATTTCTCTCTTTTTTCTATGAAAGAAACTTTGTTCAACAAAAGCCTATTTTCAATGGGACGTCCAGATCTTTTAGGATCTATTTGACAGCACCCTAATATCCTAATATTTTAGGATAATATAGAATCTAATGCAATTTGAATTTTACAAGTTAATATTCCCTGTTTGATAGGACCAAATTAGATCTTCTTATACTCAGATAACCTCCAAATATTTGAATCCCCAAAAATTCAAGTTATACTTGAATTTTGCAGGATTCACTTTGAGCATTAAAATATTTTGCATCTCTCTCCCTCTCTTACCCACTCATATCATCGTTTCTCTCTCTCCCTCTCCAATCCAACAACTACTTTCTATGATTCAACACATACCTCTCTCTCTCT